CCGTATTCTGCTGATCGTTCTATCGGGGATGGACAGACCTCCCTTTAGTAAAACGTGATTTAGCGAAAACGACCTCGGGCCCAAACCTGGCGGGAGAAAGCCTGGAAAAAGACGGCCGCGGCGCCCTCTCAAGAACCGAAAACGGACAATTCACGAATCGACGCGTCAGGGTAGGAGGTCTGTCCACCCTCGATTCTAGGCGGACGCACGTGGTGCTGCGACGCGTCGGCTACGTTATGCCAGGGCGCGTCCAGCCGGAAATCTCTCGCAGCTGGCGGCCCCGCTGCCTTGGCGTAACTCGAAGAAGCGGCCCCCGTGCGTGAATGTGAGTCCCACTGGGTCGGGTTGTCAGCTCAGCGTCGTGTGGATTCATGCCGAACATCTGGCGCACGAGCGCTTCGCCTATTAGCTCCATTACCTTCGTTTTCGGTCACCACCTTGCCCTTGCCCCTGGCGTCGTCCGATGTTCTTGCTGCCGTAGGACGGCCCTCAGGCCTCATGGAGTTTCTCCTTTGGCAGGCTGCGCTCGAGGGGAGGCACCTATCCAGACATAGTCAGGTGGTGCCTGGGCCCTTGCTTCACACGCTGGCGGCCACGGAGCTCTCAGAAATTCCACTGGCGGCCAGTCAACCTCTATTTCCCGTTCCATGGCAATTTACAATTGACTGAGCGGTTGGACTCCAGCGCTCCGCGGGGACTCTCTGCACCATGAGGGCCATCCCATTCTGGGCTCTTCGCGATGGCGGTCCTCCTGGTGATCATAGTCCCAGTCAACAGGTTCTAGAATCGCATAGCCGTCCCCGTCCAGTATCCTCCTGCTGATGCACGGCCGCCACAACCATGGAGAAACAACAGCGTTCTTGCCAGTAACGGGCGTCTTGAGATGTACGTTCTGGAACTTGATCCACCTGTGACCCAGCTTATTGGCCTTTTCCTGCTTGTAGGGGTTATGTTGCTCGGGTAGCTCGTCATCTGGGGACTTTGGCTGCCAGGCAAAGATCGTCATGATGCTGCTGTGCAGCGCGGTCTTTCCTCGCAAACCATTATCTCTACGAGCGCCGATGCCATCTTCACCGGTGTCGTTCCATCTGTGCTGTGTTCGTACCTTCGCCCGGTCGGTATCATAGCCCGTCCATTTCAACCCTGTACTCTGCGCCGCAAAGTTAGAGAACGAGGGCGAGGATCCAGAAAAGGAGGACGGGGATCCAAAAGACGAGGGCGGGGACCCGCGAGGCTCTGGAGGACGTGGACGGGGATCCAGAGGGCGAGGACGGGGGTTCGAAGGGCGAGGACGAGGATCCGGAGGACGTGGACGAAGCATTCAGCTTTACAGCGAAAACCTGCCCGAAACGCCGCCGCCTCCTTCGACAACGACTCCTTCTTCATCTGCGTTGGAAGCCGTTTTCACCCGAATGCTACCCGAGGCTGATCCGTTCCATATCCTGCCCGTGCTGGAACGTACAGATATCGATGTTCGCAGCTCAGCCCCAGCCGAACAACTGGGTCGCCGAGGGCGCGGACGCGGGCGAGGACATGGAGGGCGACGAGGCGCTCGGCAACCAGAAGCAGTTGATCAAGGCAATGGCGAGGTTACTCCTTCAACACGACGGGGATCTTCGGGCCCACGCGGGGGACGACAACATAGTGATGGAGACGGCCGAAGAGTCCAGCCGCCAGACTTTGCTGGACAAAGTGGAATAATGTTACGACGAGATGAACAAAATAGCCTGCCAAGCACCGAATTTCAAGGGCCACCCGGAGGACAGGAGGCCAGACGCGCTGATGTGTAGCGTTCTTCAGCGCCTCGCCCAGGTCGTGAAGAAGGGACAGGCCGTGATCGGGGTCACCATCGATCAGCTTCCAGACCCGACGAAGGCGGGGGTAACAGGGGCGCTCGCTCCTCTCCACGAATGGAGGGCCAACGCAACCTTACCCCCTGGGCGCGAGCTTCTCGCGACCCGTTGCTTCCACCTCCCACCGAACTCTGAGGACAAGGTACGCTGGATCTTCGCGCTGAAGTCCGAGCCGAAAGCTGAGGCGACGTTTGAACCCCCTCGGCATTTTGTTTCAATTCGACCATGTGCCGGAGAGCAAAGCGGCCAAGGAGGTGAAGGAGTTGGTCTTTGGTGGTGGTAAGAAAGAGGGCGGGGGAACGAAGAAAATCAAGAAGAGGTGATGCGGGATTCTGCACGGGTGAGAAACGAATTTTTCAACTTTGTCAATTTCCAACCTTTCCAGATTTTCCGGCACGCAGCGGGCTGCAGTGAATTTTTCGGATGAATCTCTCAGGGTGCATTGGGCAAGCGAGTAGGGGAACCGCTTGCCACTACAGAGGTAGCCTGCGAGTGCAGGTGCAGCACAGGACACAGAGGTGGCCTCCGCTGCTCGCTGGAGTGGCCAGTCAGTGAGCATGTGCACGCAGACCGAGGCATGGGCGCAGATAGGGGCCAGTGGGTTCGTGCGTGTGGCGAAGCAAGTGCATGTCTGTGTATATGTATGTGCCTGCGCGTAGGTGAACGGATATGTAGATGCATACGTGTGTAGTTGTATATGCTGATGTGTATATACATTTATTTCCATCAACGCGACGTCTCGACTGGGCATCGGGCCTTGGCGGGATGGTGAGTATACGCGAAGTTGTAAGAACTCATGAGGAGAACCATTCCGCCATCGGGGGCAGTGGAGCGTTTGTAGAATTTGTGCAGGGAACGTACCTTTATCTGAACACGGGGCCATCACCCCCAAGGAAACAGGACGATGCCAAAAGGACTCCAAGAGCCTGGTTTGTCTTAGAAGCGTCCTGCACGTTTTTCCCAGCGTTTTCTAGGTTGGGCTATTAACACACTGAAAGCGCTAAACAGAACACGCTGCGTGTACGAATCGTTTTGAAACATTTGCTTGAGCGTGTCCAAGCACGTCGCTGTGGGGCATGATTGTTTAACTTGGTTTGATTTCTTGTCGAACGCTGCTCCTTGTCTTCCCTGCCGCCTGCGCTCCCGCTCTCCTGTCCTCGTCGGGTGGGGAGGGGGCCGAACGTGGCTCCCGCGCGCCAAGCTGACAACGGTACGCCAAGAAACACGCTCTGACTGCGGTCCGACGGTGCGAAACGAGCCTGGGATCCCACGCCCCGTCTGCGGCGGGCTCCGAAGATGGAACACGGCAGACCTGAAAACGCAACAATGACTAGCAATTTTGAGCGTTTTCAGCGTTTCTGTTGGGATCTGGAAGCGTTGAAACTGTGATTTCCAACACGCCGATTTGAAACGGTAGATAAAACGCCCAGGGCCGATTAAATATGAACGAGGTCCAATAAGTTCCGGGTTACCCCGAAAAACCCTCCGTGGTTTGACTGGTGCCCCCCTCATTTCGCTACTGCCTCATCACTATCCTTCTCACTGCAGCTTGACTCGGGATCGTTCCTGGATGAGCGCGCAGGAAGACGCCAGGAGTCGAAGATTACCAACATTATCAGCCCGCAGGCCTCACTCGAAACATGACTGCACTCGTCCCTCAATTACTCCCAGTTGCCGAAGAAATGCACGAGGGCTTCTTTGACAGAGCTAGCTATCGGTGGCCAGACAACCCCTTTGACCACCAGTGGAGACCTTGTCAGGGGACGCTGCGGCCTTCTCTGCTCTGGACTCTTTCTGATCTTTATTGCTTTTCTTCTCCTCTGAAACAATACTGACACTGAGTCCGTGCATATAACCACGATTACAGAGATGCTGGCATGCCACCATATCATAAGCGAGAACCGCTGCGTGGAGGCAGCGAATGCACAAGTGCAAATTCTGATCCGATCGTTCAATCTGTATCATGATGGACATACTGTGCTTGACAAGCAGACTATGATACTGCGGCATGCCGTAGCCCAATACACTTCGCATGCCTGACGTCTCTTCATGGAAGCTGCTCTTGGTGATACCTGCAATTGCTCATACCTTGTCCCAAATGGCAAACTCCTTTTCCAACCACCCCGGCTACACTACCACAGAATGGCAGCCACCCACTCCGCGGCAGACTGCGCCGCAGCGATCTGCTCCCACTGGCCCTCCCCGCTCCCCTTGCCTTCCCCTTGCCTCCCCTCCCTGCCCCCCCCCCGCTCCCAGCGCCCCCATGTCCGATCAACCCAGGCTCATGGTGAAAACTGCTCCCCTTAAGTTGCCGCACCTGGACTCCAGATCCCCCGGCATCATTACTCTGGCCGAGAGACGCTTCCCGAGGCCTCGGGCGCGTGGTTGGAAACACATGCTTTCCACGTGTCCGAAGATGGCTCCGATGGGCCGCCTTAGGCCGCCTTTGAAGCCATTACGGGCCAGCTCGCGACGCTCAAATTATAGAAACACAGTTTTGCAACATTTCCGCATACTCGCCTTTTCTGCCTAAGGGCACCCAAGACGGCCCAAAAGGCCTCCAAGAGGGCCCGCGAGGTCACCAAGATGGCCCCAAGAAGTCGATTGGTTACTGGACATGTATAGCGTTGTGGCTCAATCCCAGAGCTGGTAGTGGATTGAACAGCGTAGTCAGCCGTTCGATAGACGAAGAGACCAAGACTTTGTAACACGTTGTTCGTCAGAATCGCGCCAGTCCGTGCTATTAGTGCTTGACAGTCTTCGGGCCCAGAAACCAACGCTCAAGGGGGAAGGAGAGGAGCGTGGAAGAAACTTCACGCTACGGGTGATAAAACATCACTCGGGACGGTATCTTAACGACGCACGGGGCACCCAATATGCCCACAACATGGGCCCCAAGAGAGGTTGCTCGAAGAGTCAATGGCTCTAGGCTCTAGACCAGGGCGCGAACGAAACAATGTTTCCCGTGTGCGCTGTGGCTTCCTCTTCCCTCGTTCTGTCTTCGTTCCGCCTCTGCTGCAAAACGAGATCAAACGGGACCAGTCCACGATAACTATCACCAACACACCTTTTAGCTCGCGCCCGGCACTACAGTCGAGGCTGATTGGAGATTGGGGAGGACACGCGAAAGGACCCAGGACCTGTCCGAGGGCCACATTGCCATAGAACTGTGGAAGGCATGGGTCGCGAAACGCAGGGCACAAGGGTTTCCACTCCCAAGGCGCCCCCCCTGCTCGGGATGCCGCCGCGACCCCCGACGGCACGGTGCTCGGGGGAGGCGGCCGTGGCAGCCCCTTGGGGCCTCTCGGGGAGCCTCTTGGGGACCTGCGGGGGACCTCGTGGGGGTTTCCTGGGGCGCGGGAAGCGGACTGCGGTCGGCAGGTGCTGTTGCTGCCGCCGCGGGAGGCCGACCTAGTCGAGTTCGTGCAGATCGCTTTCGCGGGGCCCGACCCCACCAGCCTGCAGGGCGCGCAGTTGAAGGAACTCGGCGTGTCCCTCGAGCTGTTCCAGCGCGCCTACGATTACCTCCGCGACACGAACGGGGCCATGTTGCTTATAGCTGCCATCCACGGCTAGTCTTGGGGCACTCTGATGCTCTCTTGGGGTCCTCTTGGGGGCATCCAGGGATCGTGGTCTCCAGCCCATGCTCGATCAGACATCGCCCCTGGCACGCTGAAGCGTGGTAGAATGCCAAGCGGGCGACGAACAGAAACGGGTCTTTAGGGAGAAGACATAGCGACCTTACGTCGCGGCCTACGCGGGCCGCCAACGTGGCACACCGCGTGGAGGCGAAGGCACTTACGCGCGAATGTCCGAGCAATCGACCCAATATTCTTCCGTCGCTCGAATGCTGCCTGGTATTGCTCCTGTAATCTTCTAACGGGGAACAGCGGAGGTCGTCGCTCCAACCCATGCTCGCTAAATGCCCAATGCGCGGAGAGGAGGAGGAGGAGGAGGCGAAGAAGGAAGAGGAAGAGGAGGAAGAGGAGGAAGAGGAGGAGGAGGAGGCTTCAATTGTGCCATTGTACCCACGAGCCCACTCGGCTAGGGGGCCTGGCTATTAGGAGGATGAGCAGGAAAAGAGAGAGGAGGAACTCAGAACTTACTCCCCCTTCTCCCCCTCGCTCCTTCCCCGTCTCCTACCCCCGCTGTCCTTGTCTCGATCCCTGGGCTTCTCCTTCGCCTCGGGCCTCCTCCTCTCTCGGGACGCGGACTTCCTCTTGCGGCCTCCTGCGTTCGGCGAGGGGCTGTGCGCGAAGGGCAGGCGGGGCAACGAGCGGAATTCGAAGGGGGAAGACGTGGGCGCGAGCGGGAAGAAAGTGCCCAGGCGCAACGTCGCTCCGCGCAGCAGGTGGGCCCCGGGGCGGGGGGCCTGTCCAGCGGCCTGCCTGACAAACGCGCGCACGCGCGTCTCCGATGCGGCCAGGCAATCTTCTGAAGCCCAGGCGCACCGCGATGCCATCCCGCACGCGCAAGCACCCCCCACGAGCACATCACACACACACACACGAACACACGCGCACTCACGAGTGCACATCACACATACACATACAGACAAACACACACACACACATACACACATATAAACACTCTCTCACACACACACACTTTTGGGCGGTAGCGGCCTCGCGCGCGGCGACGCGACGGAGACAGTCAGAGTACGAAGCGCGGAGCCGCGGCCAGGCCTACAGGAATCGCTGTGGATCCCGCTACACGTACGCACGCACGCACGCGCGCACACTTTTTGCGTCGGCGGAGAGGCAGGGGTCGTCTGCGCTAGCGGAGGCACGCACGCACGCACGCACACACACACACACACATACACACGCGAGCGCACACACACACGCACACACGCGCACACATATGCACGCACAACACGCACACACACACACACACGCACGCACGCACGCACGCACGCACGCACGCACGCACGCACGCGCACGCACGCACGCACGCACGCACGCACGCACGCCGCACGCACGCACACACACACACACACACACACACACACACACTCACACACTCACACACTCACACACACACACACACACACACACGCAGACATGCACACACACATACACACACACGCACTCACGTACACACGCACACACACACACACACGCATACACGCACACACGAACACGCACACAAGCCCACGCACACACACACACACCCAAACACACACACATGCACAGGCACACACACACACGCACGAAAACACACAACCACACACACAACCACTAACACACGCACAAACGCGCACACTACACACGCACGCACAAACAAACACACACACACACCCACGCAAACACGCACACACACACACACACACGCAAACACACACACTCACACACACACACACACGCGCACACACGCACACACGCGCACACGCACACACACACACACACACACGCACACACACAACACACACGCACACACAAAAACACACAACCACACACAGACGCACGCACACACGCACACACGCGCACACGAATGCACCCACCCACACTCACACCCACACCCACCCACACCCACCCACACGCACATCCACGCACAGACACACACACACACACAACCACACACCCCAAAACACACACACACACACCCATACACACCAACCCACACCCACACCCACACCCCCACACGCTCGCCAACCACACCCCCCCCCCCTCCCCCCCCTCCACCCCACGCACACACACACACACACACACGCACGCACGCACGCCGCACGCACGCACGCACGCACGCACGCACGCACGCACGCACGCACGCACGCACGCACGCACGCACACACACACACACACACGCGGACACACGGACACACGGACACACGCACACACACACACACACACACACACACACGCACACAAACACACACACACACACACATACGCACACGCACCCACCCACCCACACACACACACACCCACACACACACACACGCACGCTCACACTCGCGCGCACTCACGCACACACACGGGGACGCCCGCAACCACACACATTCCCTCACACACACTCTGTCTCGCACACAAACACCCACACAAACACGCACACACACACACACATCCTTGTTCCTTATTACTATATACCCCCACCTACCTCGCATTCCGGCCGATAGCAACCCAATCCGGGACCTCCCATCCGGACTGTAAAAAATCAAAGCAAAGTTGCCGTTTTTCTTCTCAACATCGTCTTTCTTGTCGTCGACGATGCGAAAAACGTGGCAGGAATGGGACGCGGCGCACATCGCGCGCGGCAGTCAATCCGGGCCCGCCCGTCCTGAATATAAAAAATCAATACAACGTCTTCGCTTTTTCCTCTCAGCATGGTCTGCCTTGTCGCCGACGGTTCGAAATATGTGGCAGCAGTGAGACGCGGCGCACATAAGGGACGCGGCGCACGTCGCGCGCGGCAGTCAATCCGGGCCCGCCCATCCTGACTGTAAAAAATCAATACGATGTCTCTTTTTTTCCCTCTCAGCATGGCCTGCCTTGTCGCCGACGGTGCGAAAAACGTGGCAGGAATGGGACGCGGCGCGCATCGCGCGCGGACGTCCATGCGTGCTGCGGGCCCTCCCATCCTGTTTGTAAAAAAGCAATACAGAGTTGCCGTTGTTCCTTTCACCATGGCCTGTCTTGTCGTCGACGATGCGAAATGCGTGGCAGGAATGGGGCGCGGCGCACATCGCGCGCGGACTTCTGGGGAAACCCCAAGGCGGGAGGGGCCACCTTACTTGTCAGAAACAATGCCATGCTGATTTTCCCTGCCCACATAGCTGTTCTTGTCGTCCACCCCGCAAAAGTGCATGGCAAGAATTGGGCGCGGCACACCCCCCTCCCCCCCCGCTCGAAGTGAATGAAATGACCTTCCCGCTTGGGCGCCGAGCGAAATTTTCTCAAAGTCGCGCTCCCGCTTTGGCTTGGCGCACGTTTCTTGCTCGCCAATTCATTGGGCGCCGGGGCGTTCCAGGAGGCCCTGGGGTGACGAATGCCTGGGATGTTTTTGCTTGTTCAGGCTCTTGGAGGGCCTCCTGAGGCTCCCCGCGGTTTCTTGGCCCTACGGCCGTCCGGAGGCTTCTTGGGCCGTCTTGGGGCCCTCTTGGGCCGACTTTGGCGCCTCTAGGGGGCCTCTTGGGCGGGCCGTTTTGGGGGGCTCTTGGGCCGTCTTCAACGCCGTGAAGGCCGACAAGTCGTATATGACCAATCGGAATTGGACGATTTTGGCCTCTTGGGCCCTTCCTGGGAGTCATGTCTGAGGCTACTTGGGCCGTCTCGGAAGCTTCTTGGGCCGTCTTGGGGCGATCTTGGGCGTCTTGGGTCGATCTTTGGACGACTTGAGACCCTCTTGGGCCGTCTTGGGGGCTGCTTGGGGCCCTCTTGGCCCGTTTTGCGGCTCTCTTGGGTCCGAAAAGGTCACGCGGGGAGACTCGCCAGGGCCCATGGGACAAGCGGCAAGCACCGGGAGATTTGAGAGCGAGGGGCCCTGGTCCCATCAAGACTCTGCAGGATTGAGGGCTGAGGCTCAAGGGATGAGACACACGACCTGAGGACACGCCCACTCCGTGCCCGAGGCACGGTGGCGTTGATTTGTTTCGTCGTAGTATTATTACGACCACAACGTCCATTTCAACTACTAGTACGAGTACTAGTACTGCTACTGCTACCATTTCTACGACCACCAGTAGTGGCGTTATTCTGTTTAGTCTAAGTATTACTACAACCACAACGTCCTCTTCAACTACTAGTACGAGTACTAGGGCTGTTACTGATACCATTTCTACGACCGCCACTACTACAACAAGAACAACAACTACTACTACTACTACGACTACTACTACGACTACTACGACTACTACTACTACTACTACTACTACTACTACTACTACTACTATACTACTACTACTACTACTACTACTATTACCACTAATACCACTACTACTACTACCACTACTACTACTACTACTACTACTACTACTACTACGACTACTACTACTACTACTACCATTACTACCAGTACTGCTACTACTATACTACTACTACTACTACTACTACTACTACTACTACTACTACTACTACTACTATACTACTACTACTACTACTACTACTACTACTACTACTACTACTACTACTACTACTACTACTACTACT